AACTACACTGCTCTGGTTTCCTCGAGACTCTGTTGAGTGACAAAAAAGTGTAAAGTTGTTGATTGACTGTTTGTTGACTGGTGTTTGTGTTCTCACACAGGGCTAGTTGTTGAACCTCAAAGCTACTTTGGAGAACCATAAAGCCATCGTCCTGGAATGACCCAGCAATTCTCCAACATGAACACCTTGCTCTTGATTGCCAGCCACACCCCCACACCTTCTGAAAAAAAGAAACGTGTCTACAAAATGGTCGGCTGGCAGGTGCAAAAGAAAGCGCTGAAGACCTTGCACCTGCAAAGTCTTCCAGGCGTTCAACCTCCAACTCTAAAACTATTTGCCTCATTTTTCTTCTCATTGTTATTTGTTTGCTCCAGCTTTGCTGTAGCAATCCGTTTGCTTGAACTTTCCCAGCACAGCACGCCCAGCAACACAAAACAGGTGAACAAGTTTTGAAACCATTGCTCAAAAAAAAGAGGTGCAACATAAAACTCATCAAGTCTGTTGCCAGGATGGCTTTGCTCATCCCCTATGTCAAGGCTCAGGACGCCACAGCAAAAAGCCAAAAGCAGCTGTGCTCAAACAGACCTCACGGTCGAATCCCAACCAGACCAGCATTGAGATCGGTGATCTCGCCAAAAACTGGTTTTGCAGCTCAAGGGTTTTCCTTCTTTTTCTCTGTCTTTGTCTTCTTCGCAGGCGGTGCAGAATTTGCCGAATCACCATCTGCAGCCAATGGTTTTTTTGGCTTGGCCATCGAAGTCTCCAGAGCTTTGCTCAGCCTGCCAGTCTTCATAGAAGACAAAAGAGGGTTGTCCTTCAAAAGTGATTGCGTCATTTGAATCGTTCGGGCCACATGGTTGCCACAGAGTGCGTGGATCCTTGCTCCATGGGACTCCTCCAAGGCAAAGCTGCAAAACACATGGTCACCAGGAATGGCAATCACTTTGCCAGGGCCTGTCTTGCAGGACCATGTGCACAGCCTTTGGAAAGACTGCCAGCTCTGCCTCGTGAGATCTTCTCGCTGTGTGCTCAGATCAGTCCCCTGCAGCTTGCTCAAAGGAAAGCCCATGTAGAAAAAATTCCCTTCCAAACAAAGACGCACATCTGGCAAACCAAAGTCTGCGTGGAGATGCACACTGCAGCTCTTCTCTTTTTGCTGGAAAAACTGGGGCTGGAACTGTTCAGCCAGATCTGCTGGAAGCTTTGATGAAAACTTCTCGCACTCTGCCCCCAGCAGCTTGCTCCAAGTTGCAAGCAACTTTCTGGCCACCGTATTTTTAGTGACCAAGCCAGAAAGCCAACATGCATTGGCCCTTTTCATTTGCTCGCCCACCCAGAGCTTCTGGAACCTGAAGTAGTGGGCTTTCATCTCCTCGGCAAAAGGCTGCCCTTGTGCACTGCTGAAAACCACGGGGGCAATTGTCTGGGTATCTTCTTTCTCCATGAGGTCCCGGGCAAAGTTCCAAGCCAGACCCTTGTCTTGAAATCGGTTTTCGGCAGTCAAGTCAGTCACATCCTGCAAACTCTGCCTGCACAATGCCAAGTCGCTCCAGGAGGAGGCATGGCCCACATTTGAGCTCTGCAGAGCGGCTTTGGCTTGTGCATTGGCTTTCTCAGTCTTCTTGGCTGCAGCTTTGCTTTTTGCTAGCCAGGCCTTGAAGTCTTTGACCAAATTCTTGAAGCGGTGCAAAGCATCATGCTTGGTCGACCACTCTTTGAAATCCTTGGCCACCTGTGCAATGCCCTCATGTAGTTTGTCAGCATCACCTGAGGCTTCATGTTTCTTCTTATCTTCGCTCCACTTCTTTTCCATGTCCTCGATAGAGACCTGAAGTTCGGGGATCAAGTCCTCACACTCCTTCTGCTTGGCAGCTCCCTCGTTGCGCAGAAGCTGGGTATCCAGAAGGTTTGTTTCTTCTTGGGCCCCCAGCAGCAAAGCCTGCTGTCTTGTCAGAATGTCCTGCATGCTTTGGATGGTTCGCGAAATGGCTGCCTGATAGCCCATCGCCTCAACACCTGCAGACTTAGGCATTGCCGCCTTCGGCGCACTGGGCTTTGCTTTTGCCTCAGTCTCCAGCTGCTCCATCCAAGCTTGCTCCAGCTCAGCCTCTTGCTGCTGGAACTTCTCAATGTCACCTTGAACATTCAGAAGTTCAGTGGGTGCCTTCAACGTGTTTTCAAGACAGGCCTGCCTATCGGACTCTAGCCTCCACTGCCCCTTGTCCATACGATCTTTGGATTCAGCTTGGAAGGCTTCCAAGTCTTCCTGGTTATGTAAGTCAGCTCTCTGTCGGACGCCTTGTGTCAGGCCGTGTCTGTGAGTCATGTCCACCTCCACACCAACAAAGCGCCCAAGAAGTGTTTGCCCTCTTTTCTGCATCGTCTTGGCCCCAGGCTTTGAACACTCCTGACGGAATGCTTGCTCGGCTTGTTCCAAAGAAGAATACTTTTGAAGCATCAGCTGTCGCGCACACCAATCTTCACAAGTCTCAAAAATATCCTTGTCGGCTGTCCCCAAGGAAGTGGTCAGCTCCTCCTGCACAAAGCCCACACCAGTGGAGAAAGTTCTCTTCGTGCCTTTCTCTTGGCGACGCCTCTCTTCCTTCTGCTTGCAGTACCACTGAGCTTTTTCAGTGGGGCTCATCTTGCTCAAGGAAGCTTTTAAGGCTTCTGCTTTGTTTCTGCGTTCCTTGGCAGCTTCGGACTCAGTCTCTGTAGACTTTGGTTTCTTCAAGCATCGGCACAGCCACTTGTCGGTGCTGACGCAGTCCAAACAATTTCTGCGCAGACAGTTTCTGCCATTTGCAATACTGTCCTTCAGCAGAGTTGGTTCCAGGCATTTCTGACAAACCAAACTATTTTCGGCAGGAGGTGTAGCTGCAGCTGCCTTTGCTGCCGCAGCTGCCATGGAGGTAGGCAAAGTCCCAGCACAAGAGCGTCAGAGTGCTACAAGTAAGTCTCCTCTTTTTCAAGCCTAAACCCTGCAAATGAAGAGCCATCTAACTAGAAACCTCTAAACCTACATCGGAGAAAACCTTTCGGAAACAACTTACCCAGAATTCCACTTGAAGAAGGCATCTTGTTTTTGCCTGTGGCGGTGTCGATGTTTGCATGAAAATTAAGAGCATCTAAGATCAAGAATCTCCTGACAATGCTCTGGCATCTAGCATGGCACTCCAAAGAAAAGTGGACCTAAAAGTGCAAATTAATTTCTGCAAAAAAAACGTTCATCCGCAGATTCTCTTCCTCTTCTTCGCGGGTTCACCCGAAGAAGGCACGGCAGCAGTCTTCAACTTTGGCTGGTCCTGCGGGCCAGTGGCAGGCACCAAAGCAGCCAGCTGAGTTTGGCTCAAGTGTTTGATGCTGCCTCTTTGGATCACTCCACTCTTGGCTGCTTGCTCGAGCAAGGGGCTTAGCATAGTTGCCAAGACCAATACGTTGAAAGCATTGCCTGATGCTTTCACGCTCGCGGTTTTCTTGGAAAAGTATTTGGCCAGATTGTGTGGGTGTCCCTGCAAAGCAAAGCGCTCTCGGACGGAGAGAAACCTGTGGATCCTTTGTTTGGTCCATGGCTGGCCCAAATCATCAATGGAAATGATAAAAATTTGAGGCCCTTGTGTTCTGAAAGAAGGAACCTGATCAAAGGCTACTGCACCACCATAGACACGGAGAGGGTTTCTGTCCAACTCACAACAAAAAATCGAAGATGAACATGTCTCTGATTCAAGTGCTTCCTTCGCCAGTTTTTTGTAGACCAGAAGGTTGGCCTGCATGGTTGGAGTCAGGCTATCTGGATCCACATTTGGAAGGCTCCAAAAAATCATCTAGCTTGAGTCTCTGTGTGCCCAACTCTTTCAAACTGAGAGGCGCAGGTAATTCGTGGGAAAGGCTTGGCAAGCAGTCCAGCCTCAGCCCACGGACCCAGACTCGTGGCCGGCTATGGGGCATCAGGGTGTGCAAGTCATGCTGCACCACTTCAATCTTGAACCATGGGCATGCACATATCAGCTTGTCCAGCAGTGACCAGAACTCACTGTGAGTGGTGAGCTTCTCGCTGTTTTCCAAAAGGAAAACAATCAAACTGCCCCGGTGTGCAAGCTCGATGATCCAATCAATGCAAGCTTCAAGCACAGCACTTCGATCATCTTGAAAGCCCTTGCCAGAACCATTGGCAGCGTAGGGTTGGCAAGGTGGTCCAGCTACAAATATTTCGCAGCTGTCTAGGCCTGCCAATTCCATTTTCATGATGTCGCCGTTGACGGGGCCACATCGAAGTGATGTCAGCCCAGGGTCCCCATCTTTCTGCAAATTGCTGTAGAATTCTTCGATGTCCTTGTCAAAATCAACACAGCAATTGGTAGCCTCGTACTTGAGGCCACATGCTTTGAACCAGCTGTGGAAAGCTCCAATGCCAACGCATGGCTCAGCTATTTTTGGGCAGACCTGTAAGTATCGGAAGATACGGCCTGTCTTCCAAAGAAGCTGCTCCACGCTGTTTGCCATGACTCGCGTATTTCACACAAAGGCAGGGCCGGCAAGTCTAAAGAAAAGACTGTGAAAAACATGTTGAGGTTTTCTCTGAACAAAAGAAGATGCTGGTTGTCGTTACATCTCTCTCACACACTTTCCAGCAGGTTTGGGTTTGGGCCTGAGTCCTGAGTCTGAAAAAACAAAGCTATCGTCCAGTCTTAAGACACTGACATCAATGTCAACACTGAAAAATAGAAATATATATAGGTTAAAGTTACAGTTTTGTGATGCTGTGACTCACATGACTCTGTTCTCTCTCTCCCTTTTTCTCATTCTCTTGGAATTGGTCCCATGAGCATGTTTGATTTAAAAGAACCAAATGTAGAGAACAAAGCACTGCAACGGATGCAAGAAACAATCGAAAGAAGAAAACCCTTCGCAAAATATCTGGATCAGCAAAAGAAACATTGAATTGATACATTCGGTGGGCAACACGTCTCAGCTTCACAAGCTGAACAAACAGCGCTCGCGGAACATCACAAAAACACAAACGCAACACAGAGATCATAGAATCTTGAGCGTCCTACTAGTCAAAAGTCTGCAAACAACAACAAACAAAGACAAAGCAGGCAAGATAGTAGCAAGACATAGCAAGACACTCCCACAAGATAACCGCTGCAAGCCAAGACATAGGCAAGACACCCGCGAGACACCGCAAGACACCCGCGAGACACCGCAAGACAGCCGCAAGACACTGCGAGACACACGCGAGACACACGCGAGACACACGCGAGACACATGCGAGACACACGCGAGACACACGCGAGACACACGCGAGACACACGCAAGACACTTTCGAAACAAAAGCGACTCAAACACCAGAGAACTACAAGATACCCCAAAAATTATGGCGATGCATGCTTTTTCAGGTGATCCCTTCCAAAAACTATGCAATTCACTGGGGATTGCGCCTCACATAGGATCATTCGTTTTTGAAACAAACAAATCGCTCTCTTGGACTGCGTTTGGGTTTGTATGATGTTTTCAGTGAACCTCAACGGAATGGCCTGCCCACTGGGTAACAAAAAAAGACGGTGGTCTGATTTTTCTCTCAGCATCACTGTTTGGAAGATTTGTTCCGCCAGTGCCACTGATTCAGCCTATGTGTCATGTTTCCTCTGCAAAAACATTTGAGTGGTCCGGAAAAATTCGGACATCATGCTGTCAGAGGAAGATCGAAGCTGAACTGGCACAGCATCTTGAGTCTTGTTCTGAACCTCCTCCAAATCTGTGGTCGTATCATCTCGGCATGGTCCACGGGAAGATGGTTCAACATGAGTGGGCTCACTGCTGACATTTCTGCGCAGTGGAGGCCGGTCATCGCCAACATTTCGAGATTGCCCAGGATGCCAGGACTGTGGCCTTGGACTTTGCCTCACAGCTGAGCGGTGGCGGGCCCTCTGAAGCTCGGGGCAAGACACAACGGAACGTCCCCTCTTAATTCGCTCCTGTTGGGCCTTTGTTGCCGCCATGTATTCCTGGCTACGAATCTGGCCCTCCTTCGAATTTGGATGACAGGACCATATGTGTTGACTCAAACTGAACTCGGATTGGGTTCGCATGACCTTTTCGCAGATTGGGCACACCAAGCCCTCCTCACTAATACCCTCGTCTCCGGGAGGACTTCGAGATCTCAGCCTCAAGTTGTCTAAGCGCCGCAAAGTGGGTGGGCGTGAAGAGCGCTTGTCAGTCGGTGACCTCTCCCTCTTCCTGTGTCTGCGCTTGTGATGTCGTTCACCCTCACGGCCACGGCTGCGGCTACCTTTGCCACGTCTTGACCGAGATCGTTTCGATCGTGTACGTTCAGGCAAAACTGTGTGTTCCCTGTCACTGGCATTGGGAACAGCAGGTGGTGTCGGAGGTTTCCGAGACTCTGCTGGACCATTGCCATCTGGTTCCCCCTTGACTCCTCGCACCTGTCCAAAAGGCAAAGTGGAACTCTCAGAAGACTCGGAGCTTTCACTCGAAGGTACCTTTGAGCATTTTATCGAAAACAAAATTACACTGAATACATGTGGTATGCCTATTGAAACACAACCGTACATGTTACACAGTTGTTAGTTGAAAAAATATAGCTGAGGCCAAACGGGTTGCTTACGCAGAGCCCCTTTGGGGTTTTCAGCTGACAAGGTTGTCTGTGGCCAACAAGGGGTTCCGCTACAGCAGAGCCCCCATTGGTTACACAGCAGAGCCTCTTACTGTATGACTGTCTGTGTTTTGTTTCGTTGTTGGTTTCAATAAAACATACTAAGCAAAGGCAAGGCACGAGCGTCTTCGGAGAAGCCTGCTGGGCATCTTTGTTGTTCTGCGGAGGAGGCATGGCTTCGGAACCGGCTACACTGCACTGGACTACACGCACAAGAAGCCCCATCTTCGAACCAGTGAAAAACAAACACACTGTTTACTGTCCAATTGCTCCTGGTTTTGCCTTAGAACACATGACAAAATCACTGCGCGCTCATGGCTTTGCCTCTCAAAAACAACGAACTTTTTTCTTACGGCAAGAGCTGGTAGCGTAAGAAGTTCTCCACGGAGTCAGAACTCGGATCAGAAGACTTATGTCTCTCAGCCGTTTTCAATTTGTCACCCATTGCATTCCACGCAAAAAGCCACGCTTCTGCGTGGTTCTTTGATGCATGGTTTCGTACAAAGGTATACTTCCGGCAGTTTGCATGAAATGTGCACTGGATAAAACAGCGTAGGTTTCCTGAAGAATGCGTGTAGCGGTCATACAAAACCTTTGCTTTTGCAAATTTAGGTTCTTTGCAACGGACAGGCTCTACTTCTAAGTCGTGCTCTGGCACCTGAAGAACAAGTGCCTCTTCGGGTTTCTGTTCTTGGTCAGTCAAAGCCTTGTTCTTGGTACCTGGTTTTTTTCTGCTTGCATATGCCAAGATTTCTGTCTCTGACATTTTTGCAAACACAGTGAGATCAACAGCTTTGAGCATGTCAGTATAGTATGCCGCTGGCGCATGGTGGTGAATACGGTTCAATCCACCTTTGCGGTCAAAAAGCAAATCTGCTAGCAACATCGCCCTGAAATATGCCTCTGGCCTTTTCCACACATTGTACACCAAATGTTTTTCCTTGTTCTTCCTGAACCATGTGCTTTCTTCATTTTCCTTACACAAACACCAACCATCACGCAAAAGGGTGAGCAACACAGCAACCTTGCAAGTTTTTTGCGCTTACTGCTGCCACCAAAACATGTACCAGTAGCATACGCTTCCAGTAAAAGTTGGGGGTTGGTCAGCTGGAGACCAGGCCCAACACTGCACGCATCTGTTATCCACAGCAAGGGGTCCCCAATCCCCTCGGGTTTTTGCAATATGATACCAGCATCTTGAAGTGTGTCCAAAGCTTTTGTGTTGAAGTATT